CTGTGAGTCTTGGCCGTAACAGTTTAAAGTTGATGGTGAGGCTGTGTTGGCACTAAGCAACCAATTCTTCATTTAAAATCACTAAAGAGTGATCATTGTTTTTTGCACTTCACTGATAGAGGGTCTGCCACCTGCTTGTTTCCATGCAGATGTTATAGCTTTGTCTTGAATGTTCCACAGTATGGACTTATATGTATCTTGCATTTATACAATTACGAGTGTACTGATGCTAAAAAATACATGCATTTTTACTGTGAGTGGGGTTGCCTCTCCACAGATCTAACCTGTACCTTTGCATCATCTGTCCCATGTCTCCATAGATACAGACAAGTCTAATGCCATACCGTGGACATTTCTTAGCAAAATTTGGGAAGAATTTCACATTAATCACCCCCTACATGAGATACTACTGTAAATGGGAAAATTTTAAAAAGCTTAAATTATGAAATATGACCAGACTATACAGCCCATCATGGCACTCCCAATCACTGAACCATCCTGCTCCAATCACCTCAGTAGCGATTATAGACATGACAAACTGTCGTGTGTCTCCACTGTCTCCTCATAGTCCCACAGAAATGACTGGAGATGTCATGCAGAGTTCAGCACCTCCATAGGGCCCTCATTATAAGTGACAGTGAAATCCTTCACACACCTCCCTTCTGTCCACTCATTTAAATGAACCAGGTACACTGCGTTACTACCTGCATGCCTTTTAATAACTGATCTGACAGAGCTCCTAGATACAACCTGTGCTTTCAAATTAGTGAAGAAACCCACACCACTGCTGCCCTTTTCCTTGTCTGGCCCCAGTGACAGGGCCCAGGATTAGTCTCAGTCGAAGGAGCGGAGCAAATAAAATATCAATGATTGCACTTGGACTCTCCATTTGTGACAGTGTGTGTAAAATGATGCTTCATTATGTGGTTGAGGAGTGGCTCAGAAGCAGCAGCGGGTAAGCAGGAAATATGTATGCATTCTGATTTTCTAAAGAGGGTTTTTAGGAATGTGATTTGGTTTGATTTATCCAATGAACAGAGAAATAGAAAATAATGTGTGAAATACATCTTGCACGTTATTCTTGTGTCTAAGAGAGGTTTCACTGCGCACTCCAGTGTCCTCCAAAACATGCACAATAGGTAAAATACTACAGCTAAGGTAGTCCAGACCAACCCTAGCTCAGGATGGCAGCACAGTGGCTATCATTCATGCTTCACAGCAAGAAGGTTCCGGGTTCAATCCCTGGGTCGCCTGGGCCTTTCTGTGCTTTCAGTGCAGTGCATTTTCACCCCCTGTCTGGGTGGGTTTCCTCTGGGCAGTTCAGTTCTCCCCACCTACCCAAAGCATGCAACATAGGTAAAATCCTTTGGCTAAGGTAGTCCTGATCACACCTTGCATCAAGATCACAGAGATGGGGCACAGCACAGTGGAACCCACTGCTCCTCAGGGGATGTCCTGGTGCCATTTGGAGGATGGGTCAAATGTAGAGAAAAGAGATTTCAATACAGGGACAATAAAGTGTACCTTAATTTAACCTTAACTTAAAATATGGAGTTGGGTCCCTGTGAAGGCCCACTGCTCCTGACAGTTTGCCTCACTGAAGTATCGGTCAATTGCAGAGGATTAATTTCCCCACACAGATCAATAAATAATTTCCTATAAAATATACACAGGAGGTACCAGGTTTTCCTGTACCTCCTTATTTAAAAAAAGTTTGAATGGTAATAAAACATAACATTTGCTTTAATGTACATTTAGAAATATCAATAATTAATTTAATGCTTACAGTACACAAATCAAGGGTCAATGTGTCCCCTTAAGTACAGACTTATTTAATGAGATATTTGATCACTTTTCCTTCTTCCACAGATTTGCACAAGTACAATGATGTGTAGTGTGTGTGGTGCATGTCTTTCATCCCTCACACATAACAGCACATAGTCAACACACACACAAACAGGGGCTATGCTTTGATCAAACATGCAACATGAAAATAAATCACTTATTTTTTCACATGAACACAGATGTATTACGTGTATCGACAATACAGCTCACTGGTCTACAGCATGGCATTGGATAGACCCTATATACACACACACATGCGCGCACACACGCCCACACACGCACATACATACATCACACACACACACACACACAAAGACACACACACACACCAATGCATTATGGGAGTTGTAGTAGCATAAATACAGCTGGCTTTTACATATCAAAATTGAACATAATCACAGGAGAAAAGACAAGCTTGAAGGATGAAGTGGTTATCATGACAATGGATGTATATGGAGCGGGTGCCATAGTGAAGATAGTTTGCAGTGAAAGGAGTGGAGGATGGCAAAATCACTGACAACAATGCGGAAATACGAGAAATAACAACTTCCGCAACCAGAACAGAAAGGAATAACAAAAGACAAAAAAAACAAAAAACAAAACACAAGCCTCTGTTGCTAACTTTGCCTCTGTATAAAGCCCCAGAGATGATGGCTTTGAAGCGGTTGGAGCTGGCAGGTGGCTGACAGGTGAGCACAGGCCCTTCTGTTGTGTACTTTGTTTGTACCTTTAGCAAATAGTCCCAAAGCCCAGAGCAATCACACCCCACCACAGCATCACCAAACTCTTTCCATCAGACAAAGTTCAAGGTAAGTCACTGTGGTATTGATTTTCTTTACAACCCTTTTTTTAATACTTCCTATTTTTTGTCAAGCTTTTCAATTTCCTTCTACAAGTTTGATCTATATGAAAGTCACTCATGGTTCACCTGTAAGCACTTTTTGAGCTACTTGCTAAAAGGCGTTGGTGACAGACACAGACCCGAGTTTTGAGTACTGGTGACATACAGTATGTAGTACAATGGTTTAACAAGATAGAGTTGAGCTTTGGATGAAGAATAATCTATAAAAAATATTCTATAATTCTTTGTCTTGCCACATTCAGTCCTAATGTTCAGAGGTATATTGCAACATATACCACCAAAACAATTATTTATTTATTTTTTAAGTTCAAGCTTTTGTTTTTTTGTTCACTGACAATGGAAAAAAAAACAAAAACTTTTTTCTGACATCTGATTCTGAAAAAACTAATACCAATGATACCAATCAACACAAAAACTATTTTCAAAGTAGATATAGGTAGATAGATAAAAGTAGACATTTAGTTTGAGTTTCTTACTTTCTGTTGATTAAATCACCCATTATGTCAAGTTCTGTGAGGTGACTGCTGTTATAATTTTGTGCTGTACAAAAATCAATTGAATTGAATTTGGAATGGATAAAAAATTGGATAAAGTTGGGCCTTTCTTTCATGTAAAGTTTTAGACTTTACTTAGACAAAATTCATTCACAAGGGAAATTATTTGGACAGAGTAGAATCACACACAAGATATATTATAATGTAAATATAAATATAAATATATATATATATATATATAGATAGATAGATAGATAGATATAGATATATAGATATTGATATAAGTATAAATGGTAATAAGTGATTCAGAATAAGTTAGAACATAACTAGTGGTAAATTAAAAGAAACTGCTTTTAGTTTGTGATGAAATTTGATTATGTTGTGCACACACACACACACACACACACACACACACATACACACATATATATATATATATATATATATATATATATATATATATATATATATATCAAAAAGTGCAAAAAGTGTAGTGAGTAATGAGCCTATGCCTTAGTATCAAAATCAAGTTAGAAATGTTGGTATTGTGAAAAACTCTTTAGTAAGTGGTTATGTATACATAATACAATATTTACAAATGATATTACCATGTCTGTCCAGTCTACAGTTAATAATGGAGTACCATTCTTCTGGGCCTATGCTGAGTCTACCAATGTGGAGGATTTAATTCCACAGCCTCTGAGGTATTTACAGTGAGATTCTGTCAGTGCTTGTTGGTCCGCCGCCTTCTGCCACTTATTATTGTGTCCGGCGCCACAGGGAGCTGTGATTTACCATCAATACACAAGTGCTATTTTCTGCCAAGCCCAGACAATACTTCACAAAGCAATCCTGTGGAATACAAAGCCCCCCATATGAGAAGCCCTATAGCTTAATTCCTATTGATGCACAAGATTATAATAAGTTTGGGTGAAATTACTGTTTTATTTTGTGTGGATAAAAATGGGAAAAATCAATGTGGTCATAATAGGATATTTCTCGTGTTATTATCAACATTTCAATACTTTCAGAAACTGCAGCACAAGCATTTTAGGAAGTAACAGTTTTTTTTTTTGGTTTGTTTGTTTTTTTTATTTTTTATTTCTAACCAAAATTTAACTTTGATTCAAAAGAAGCTGATTGGTTATTCTTCCCTAATTTTTTGGTTTATTCACAATTAGCAATATTTATCATTTATTGCTAATTACGTGCTCTGCTTGAAGCTCCTCGATTCCTTTAGCAATGTTGTTTACAAGCAACTAAACAGCTTTTGGGCTTCATCTAATGTGTCACTGTCATGCATTAATCTACGATGGACAATAACTGCGCTGTCATTTCAAAACGCTTAAAGTAATTTCTCCAGATTGCTTAATTTTTCAGCTCTGCCACAGGCCTGATTAGAAAATGGGATCTTGCGGTGATTGATTCCAGTATTACTTTAGTGTTCTAGTTGATTTATCTCTTACAATAAAGCATCATCATAGAAAACAATTTTGCTGAGACTCAAAACCCAAGATCGTGTTTCAATGGCCTCCAAGGGTCACTTGGTATCTGTCACTGTAGGCCTATTGTGGCTCATTGTCTTTTATTTGTTGCCATAAGCTTCACAACCACATCAAATACAGCCATTCCTTCTGGGGCACTTCAGCTGTGATTGCTTCAATATTGGTCTAAACTACAGCATTAACAGAATGTATGGTATGTATGTGACTGCAAGTTACAGCAAATCAACCCTGGAAAAAAATAAGCGACTACAGGTGAATTTGTGTGTGAATGTGTGGGAAGGCTGTGGGTCTTACCTGGGGACACAAGCAGTTGAGGTTTCTGCCTCTGGAGCGTCAGGGGCGGGGCAACAGAACTGGTGTAGCACAGTTTGGTTTCTGAAGAGAGAGAAGGAAAAAGAAAGCTTGGTTTATGGCTAATATCAAATTACTAAGTCTAGTTCAATGTCTGGTCTGTCAGCATAAATAGCCAAAATGGAAATACCCTGCCCTCCACTATTATAACAAGAGGAGAACACAAGTTTGAATGTGCTTTCACTGTGAGCATTATAAATCTGATTACTTGATTTAGTAGTTTCATGCATATTACATAAAATAAACTATTAGTATTGTGTGCTCATTCAATTAGTGTCTTTCTATTCCTGTGACTCTGAGGTTGGGGTACAACATTTTGTTTCTTATGATCACTTAAAACAAATCATCATTCAAATCCCAAAAAACAGTCATGCCTTATTACTACAATAAGAATATATTAAGTTGTGCTTGAGACAGTGTACACAGTGGACAATAGACGGCTCCAGCCAGAGTTATGCAACAGCAGAAATACCCAGAGAGCGAATGGATTTTTCAAACAGATCAAACTGATCTAGATCATTTTATTGATTATAGTTACTGAATGGAAAGTCCTTCACCTTTTCAGTCCTTGAAGGCCTTATCGTCATCTTTGACAAGGTCAAAATACACATAATAGAATTAATGCATGCAATTGAACAAAAAGACAGCAACTTGGTTCTAATTCTAACCTACGTATTTATATTTGCTGCTCACATGGCTATAAATAAAAAGACAAAAAGGAGAAAAATTAACTTTCTTCTGTGAATACTGCACTTCTTTTCAAAGATAAACATGTCTGAGTGTATATTTGATGACGGTGGTATTGAAAACATTGAACATTACTGCAGTGGATCCATGTTGGTTGATTGGCTTAAGGATTTATTTGGGGGCAAGGACAGCACTGTTGCATGATTTATATACACCAATATAGTCAGTGAGAGGAAGATGAATGGCCACAGTAAGCTCATAGTCATAGCAGGGGGGGATTTTTAATGCAAGGGTGTATCATCTGTGCCTATAATGTGGGTTTAGTCTTAAAGTGGATACCTATCCTGACAAAACTATTTTTTAATCCAGGTTTAGGACTAGCACAAACAATGCACTTTTATGAATTATTTATGCTGGATTCAATATTATGTAATGTTATTCGTGTTAAAAGGCCCATTATTAGGCTATTGTCTGATCTATGTTATAATGTTGTTTTCTCATCACAAACATGTTGTGCTTTGTTTAATTCACACATTTAACACAGAAATCCTGCATATTTAGGCCATGTTGTTACCTCAAGCTGAAAACACTCTGTTCCACCTCATGATGTCATGTGGTAATACAGGAGGGGTTCCACTGTGTTTTTAAATTTCATACACCTTCACTTAAGTCATTTGGATAATTTCAACCCTAGAACTGCCGATCTCTGCTAAAGGAAAAAAGCAGCTGTTAACTTGAAAACTACAACTATGTGACATCACAAGGTGGAACAGAGCATTTTGAGCTTTGAGTAATGATGGATTGTTTGGTTCTGTGTGAATGAAAATACAACTCTCGATGTTTTTGAGGAGGTACAGAGAGACAATTTTGCGTAACATGGAACCTTTAAATAACGCCTCTCTGCTAAATCTTTTTCCAAGTGCTTTTAGCCAAAACCCATTAAAGACATCTGGATATTGCTTGATGCATTGACTCATCTCCAGTGAAGGTGAAATCTTTCAGACTAACAGCGGAGATATAAAACTTTAATGTGTGCAGTGCATGTAGAGAGTACAAATGCGTTTATTTTTACTCCACCAAACGCGTTGCTCTGTCTTTTCGAACACTATACATCCATCTCTGCACACTCTCAGCTGGGGTCCCTTCCCCCATCTCTCACCTCTGTCCCCTCTGCACTGATTTTCCATCATTTTGACTGCCCCCTCCCCCTCATTCCTCACTGTTGGGCCAAATAAAGGAGAGCTACTTAATCCATAACTCTTGATGTCAGACAGGGTGAGCGGTAAAAAGGACCCACGCTGTAGCCTCTCCACGGAGATGGGACCATGTGACAGACGAGGTGCATATCTGTTATCTGCTCTGTGTTGGCGTCTGAGCTCCCAGCTTACAGTCAATCTCACCATTTTGTTTCTCCAGGGAGGACAGGAAAACTATGAGACTTATATGTCTTCTGTTACAGAGCACCCAAGGCCACAATTCTCAGCTCACCAAGAGATCACTTCATTCCATTTCCTGGTCAAGGTTTTGTGTAGTGCAACACAGCAAGAGGCTGCTAATGTTACATGTTCAAGGGACTCTGTGTACTATCTGATGTAAAATATGGTATTATGGTGTTATGAACCAACAATACAAATGCAGATATAACATTCAAGCAGGTGCTAAAACATTTGACCAAAAATATTGATAATACTGCAAATGTTGTTTCAAAGTTATGCAACAAAAATAATAAAAGATTACGATAGAAAATGCTGCAAAAAGGGGGGATTTTTTTTTTCTGTTGGACTGACATATTCTCAGTACTGTTACATCTAGATAGAACCAGGCAACCTTTATGTTAGAAATGTTGAAACAAAAAAATCAAAGATGGTTCATAAGAATGTTTCCTTTGCACCATATTCTAACTCAGTAAAACAATATTGTGCAAATTAGAGTTTAGAAATACAAAGACAAGAGGAAAATCAAAGAGATTCCTAAAAGAGAAGCTGAATGTGATAATGGTCCAGAAGAGGAATGTGTGACAGTAAATAAATTCACTTTGTTAATGGCTGGTGTAATTGTGTTGGCCCTAACAAGCGTGACACTGCTGTGGTCGTGTGTAAAGGAGCGCACAGCTGAGTCTCAGAGGATAGAGGCAGATTACAGAGCCCTCACCAACAGCCCTCAACTGGACTATTCTCGTCCATAAAAAACATGGGGTACTTTTAAGGAGAGGTAAAAAGGTTATTGCACTATTGTCAAGCATTTCATTAGTTTCTTCTAAACAGAAAAGCATCCTGCTCATCAAAAATGTGCTTGCCCCAGAATGTCTTAATATGACAAAAGTATGATACAATAACAATATATAAAAATGCCAATACCCAGAAGCAAAACAATTCTAAAACTGGTATCAACCTCATTTGAAGTATTGATCCTAAAAATAAATAAATAAATAAAATAAATCACTTAAATAGTAGTAGAGTCTTCTTGGTCTCTATCAGAATGACCACATGGCAATATTAATGAAACTACAGTTATTTTGTTTGGAAAATGATTATATAAAATTGTTTGTGTGTGTTTATAGTTCAGTTATATTCGTGAAACTGTGGAAATTGAGTTACAGTTTTAGCAATGTGACAACACTAATCCTTACAGTGTATATTGACTACTCTGGCTTAATTGGTATGGACCAGTGAAATCCCAGTATGTGATGACTTTTACTGCTGACTCTCTTTTTGCCTTGACCACATCTGGGAGCAGCTGCGCACTCATGAATCCAATCGATGGCTTTTATTGGGCCAAAGCTGCCTCAGTATATTCCTGTGATGGTGGCACTGCAGAGCTGAGACACAAGAATCTATAAAAGGCTTTACCTAACTCACAAATGCTCAGAGAATAAACATTTTAAGTAACACCAGAAGAGAATGAACAGACTTTGAGTCTGATTTGTACCACTTCACACCGTAGCTCCTTTTTGATGCGCCTCAACTATATGCCTCTCTTTCATCTTTGATCTTTGCACTGTTCTCACCGATATTCAAGCATATTTATCCTTGCTTTTAAAAGAAGAACTTGGCGGCATCTAAATCTTGTCTAATCTTTGATCTGGTGGTGGAAACTGTTTACAGCGTAGGAGCTCTCCATGGTGCTGAATTGCTTTTATTCGTACCCTCAAGTAGGAAAGCCAATCGTTCCTGTTCTTAGGATTACCCAAACATTTCCCATACAAAGCATCTACAAAAATCACTAGACTTGACTCTACACACACTTGAATGTTGTTTGATCAATGTGGGTGCAGAAGATTAAAAGCAGCCCACATGGCCTGGTTTCTGATCTTCCACACCACCAACTCAGTTTACCCTTGAAGACTAAGCTCACTAATACCAACCTATAAAAAATCTATAAGCTTTCATAAGCTCTCATGCACCCTGGCTCTGGTGAGACTGGGTGTAATCAGTATACCTCCCTTCTGATTGTTCTAACTTCTAATGTGTTTGTCGATTTGCTCTACCCGGGGTTGAATTCAGATTTACAAAGATTCTAGTAAGGGCAAGAGAGATGCGAGGACAGATCTATCCTTTCATGTGCAGAATAGAGGGGGCCCTTGTGGTTAATGGAAATACTTAGTTATAGACATATGATGATTTAATGATTAATTATTTTAAAATATAAAATAAAATTATCTCTTTTTCATGATGATGCATTAGGTTACAGTATAATGGTATACTGTATACACAGATTGTCAACCAATAATAAAAACAGTTTACCACAAAACACATCATAAACTTAATCTACTCTAGTCTGCTAATATACTTAGTACAAACTATATCAAGCCCTTTACATATGGACTGAGAAAGAGAAATTGACCCACTGAAGGCTCTTGTGTTAGAGCAAACCCAAACAGCTTACGGTACATCTTGTACTGGATTGACTGAAAATAGCCTGGGCTACAGACTATAACCAACACTCCAGAGAGCCTCAATAACCTCCAAAATCTTCTATAGCCTCTTTGCTATAAAGAAATCCAGAAAAAGCAAGCATCAAATCACCTACCTAATAGCAGTGTTCATATTGCATGTATGATGAAATATTCCACAGAAATATGCTTTTATAATTTACAGATAAAAGGCATGACTCAATTTCTTCATTGGCTGTTATAAAATGTATGCCAGATTTACTTCACTTCAGCTTTTAGTGGTCAGCCTTGGATAATGTATGGTCTGTTGGTCTCAAAACAAACACGGATGCTTAGAAGCAAAAAAAACAAAACAAAAAAAACAACAAAAAAAACAGGGCTGAGGAAAAGCATGACTATCTCCCAAATCAATAGGTCCAGGGTGGGAGAACTTACTGTATAAAGA